ATCTTAACAGGTCACTAAAAATTTCTGTATTTACCACAAGACTGGCTTTCTACTCTTTCCTTTGGATTGTGCCCTGAAACTTTGCTATGGATAGGGTTTACACTGACCAGCATGGCAGCTTGCCACATGGGGCTGTTGAGCTCTTGGGATGAAGCTAAGCCAAACTAAAACATGCCATAAGTGTAAAATATACACTGTACAAAAAAGTTTAAGAATGACTAAAACATGTCAATAACTTAAGAATGTTTACTATATATTGAAATGATAACATTTTGGGGGTCTGGATAAAATAAATATATTATTAAGATTAACTTTACCTGTTTCTTTTTACTGTGACTAGTAGAACATTTAAAATTATATTTATGGTTTACATTCTATTTTTATTGGATTGTGCTATTATAAACCCTGTTTCAGTTTGTAAAGGATATTTGGAGGCTTAAATTTTGCTATTATTGGCTCGGCACCTATAGCTCAACCGGCTAAGGCGCCAGCCACGTACACCTAAGGTGGCGGGTTCGAATCCCCAGCCCAGACCCACCAAACAACAATGATGGCTGCAACCAAAAAATAGCCGGGTGTTGTGGGGGGCGCCTGTGGTCCCAGCTACTTGGGAGGCTGAGGCAGGAGACTCGCTTGAGCCCAGGAGTTGGAGGTTGCTGTGAGCTGTAATGCCACGGCACTCTGCCCAGGGGGACAGCTTGAGGCACTATCTCAAAAAAAAAAAAAAAATTTTGCTATTATCAATACATTTGTAAATTTATAATCAGCTTAAGTATTTATGTTTGTAATACAAAAATCATAAGATATAAAAAAAGAAAAAGGACAAAATTTATCATCAAGAAATATATTTGCAGATTTTTAAACTATGAAGTCCCCAGCAAGGCACAGTGGCTCACACCTGTAATTGTAGCATTTTAGGAGGCTGGGGCAGGAGGATTGCTTGAGTTTGAGACCACACTAAGCAAGGGCCAGACCCCATCTCTATTAATAATAGAAAAATAAGCCAGGTGCAGTGGCATCCACCTATAATCCCACTTACCTGGGAGGCCAAGGCAGGAGAATTGCCAGGAGTTTGAGACTGTAGTAAGCTATGATAATACCACTGCACGTTAGCCTGGATAAGACTCTGTCTCAAGAGAAACAAAAACAAAAAACAAAACAAAAAAACTCTCTGAGGTCCCCAGATATACTCATTCTCTGTGTCTCATGTCTTAGACTCATTTCAGTTTCATGTGCAGAGGTAAATCAGAATGGCAAGAAGAAACCCATAACATTCTGTACTTAACTTCTGCAATGTGGGCTACATCAGTTTGCTTTGGGCTTTAGGAAAGAAAGCACTCCAGTGTTTATGGCAACTTGAGGGGAAGTGGAAGTGGTTCCTGTTACCTTCTCTTCTAATGTCTAAAAAAAGAACACAAAGAAAATAAGGAAAGTACTTGTTTCCTGGGTAATCATTCTTGCATTTCAAACCTTGCTAAGATGGTGCCCGTCTGCCTTGTGCTAACATGAGCTCTGCTCTAAACTTTACTTGTCTCAGAACGCAAGCTGACTTGGTATGCCCCAAACTGAGCTTGGCTGGTTTTCTTACTTTAGCTTGGCGGGTCTCTATGGTCTCTAGTTTCAGCTGGCAGAGGACTTGAAAAGGTGGAGATCCCACATAAACACACCCCTTAGGTGGAGACCTCAGGGGACACAGATAAAACACCGAGGCTTTCCCAAAAAACTTCCCCCGGCTCTGTTGTTCAATAATTTTATCTGCAAACTATTTGAAAGAAGCTTTTTTCCCCTAGCCTTCTGGTTTGAGGATAGATGTAGATAGCTGGCAGGCCTGACTTTTAGTATAGGATCCATTGTTATATGTCTTTTTTGTTTGGTTGGTTGGGGAGGGTTTTGTTTTGTTTTGTTTTGTTTTTTGAGACAGGAACCTCAAGCTGTCCCCCTGGGTAGAGTGCCGTGGCATCTCAGCTCACAGCAACCTCCAACTCCTGGGCTCAAGAGAGTCTCCTGCCTCCGCCTCCCAAGTAGCTGGGACCACAGGCGCCCGCCACAACGCCCGGCTATTTTTTGGTTGCAGCCATCATTGTTGTTTGGTGGGCCCGGGCTGGATTCAAACCCACCACTTTGGGTGTACATAGCTGGCACCTTAGCCACTTGAGCCACAGGTGCCAAGCCTGTTTTATTGTTTTTTGTTTGAGACAGTCTCACTCTGGGTGGTGCCTGTGGCTCAAAGGAGTAGGGCGCAGGCCCCATAGGCCGGAGGTAGTGGGTTCAAACCTAGCCCCAGCGAAATGCAAAAAAAAAAGGAGACAGTCTCACTCTGTTACCCCAGGCTAGAGTGCCATGGCCTCAGGCTAGCTCACAGCAACCTCAAACTACTGGGTTCAAACAATCCTCTTGCCTCAGCTTTCCGAGTACCTGGGACTATAGGAATCTGCCACAATGCCTGCCTGGCTAATTTTTCTATTTTTAAGAGAGACAGGGTCTTACTCTTGCTCAGGCTAGCCTCAAACTCCCGAGCTCAAGCGATCCTCCCTCTTCAGCTTCCCAGAGTGCTGGGAAACACTGTGCCCCACCTGCTGTACGTCTTTGGATTTCAGTCTCAACTTCAGTTGCCTCTACTGCAAAGTAAGGATAACCGTGTTGACTATATCATAGGGATATTATGAAGATGAAATATGATAATGAGTATAAAGGGCTTCTCATGGTACTTGGCACACAGTCCACACTTAGTAAACGTTCACCATCATCATTGTTGCCTTAATTCTTTATTGAAGGCTTGCAATTGAGGAAACCAGTCTATAATGGAGATAGTCTGTAGGAGGTGGGGACAGGTCTCAGGAAAAGCTGAACCATCTCTTCAGCCTCATTCTTCAAATGGAGGGCTACCAACCAAGAAGTCCCTGTGAGAAGGCTGAAGGTCATAAAGGATTTGGGTCATCTTACCCAGAATGTGGGAGTTCAGGATGGTACTAGAGAGCCTGGTACCAGGACCAATCTTGGGAGCCACAGTTACTATGAGGAGGGCCCAAGCAAAAGCAGAGGCAAAACCAGGATCGACCATGGAATGGCCTGGGTCTGGCCTTGGCCACCATGACTGGTCAGCCTGACTGATCAATGACTGCAGGTGCACAGCTCCCTCAGTCAGTGCTCAAGGGACCCCAGGACAGGACTGCTTTCCTAAGGCCTAGACCTGTGTCAGGAGGGAAGGCCAAGTTCACTAAGTGAATAGTTTGCTTAACATTGTATTTGTGAAGCTGGGTGCAGTAGCTCATGCCTATAATCCCAGCTCTGGGAGGCTAAGGTGGGAGAATCACTTGAGATCAGGAGTTTGAGACCAGCCTGAGCAAGAGCAAGATCACATCTCTACTAAAATTAGAAAACTAGCCAGGCGTTGTCTTGGGTGCCTGTAGTCCCAGCTAATCAGGAGGTTGAGGAAGGAGGATTGCTTGAACCCAGGAGTTTGAGGTTGCTGTGAGCTAGGCTAATGGTCATGGCACTCTAGTCCTGAGGAGCAAGACTTTGTCTCAAAAAAAACCCAAACCAAAAAACATTGAATTGTGTTACCAGAACTCCTCAGCAAATGCCTGCCTTTAAGGGATAGGGCTCAAGTCTACCTGCATCAGTCAGAAGGAGGGACACACTCTTCTTCTTAGGCCATCAATTGCAGGTAGACCTTTGGAGATTTTATTTCTGTTTCTTTTTGCACCCAAAGCCATAACCATTGTATAAGATTTATTTTCCTGGCTCGGTAACTGTAGTTCAGTGAGTAGGGTGCCAGCCACATACACTGGATCTGGCAGGTTTGAGCCCAGCCCAGGCCTGCTAAACAACAATGACAACTGCAACCAAAAACTAGCCAGGCATTGTGGCGGGAGCCTGTAGTCCCAGCTACTTGGGAGGTTGAGGCAAGAGAATCGCTTAAGCCAGGGTGACATAGTGAGACTCTGTCTCAAAAAAAAAAAAAAAAAAAGATTTCTTTTCCTTCCAGGAATGGTGGCTCACGCCTATAATTCTTAGCATTCTGGGAGGCTGAAGTGGGTAGACTGCTTGACCTCTTAGGAGTTCAAGACCAGCCTGAGCAAGAGCAGAACCCATCTCTGCTAAAAATAGAAACACTAGCTGAGTGTCCCAGCTACTTGGGAGATGGAGGCAAGAGGATTGCTCAAGCCCAAGAGTTGGAGGTTGCTGTGAGCTATGACGCCACCACACTCTACCAAGAGCAACAAAGTGAGACTCTGTCTCAAAAAAAAATTTTAGGGGTGGTGGTGCCTGTGGCTCACTGGGTAGGGCGTCAGCCCCATATACTGAGGGGGTGGGTTTGAGCCCCGCCCTGGCCAAACTGCAGCAAAAAATAGCCGGGCAGGCTATTGTGGCAGGCGCCTGTAGTCCCAGCTACTCAGGAGGCTGAGGCAGGAGAATCGCCTAAGCCCAGAAGTTGGAGGTTGCTGTGAGCTGTGATGCCACAGCACTCTACTGAGGGTGATAAAGTGAGACTCTGTCTCTACAATAAAAAAAAAATATTTTTTTCTCTTCCTCCTTCTTTTTTCACTTCTGACTGTACTTCCAAGCCTGCTTAAACACCCTGGTTACGTCTATCACCTTCTGCTCTCCTTACCTCCCCAGAAGCATTGGAAGAATAGATTTCCTCACTGGCTTGTTTATCCTAAATTTCTACTGATTAACTTTCAGCCAAACACTCTGGATTTTGATCTGGGCAACCTAGGAAGTTAGAAAAATGTGTTGTGATTCCCTATCAGCATTTTTTTTTTTTGCAGTTTTTGGCCAGGGCTGGATTTGAACCTGCCACTTCTGGCATATGGGGCCAGTGCCCTACTCTTTTGAGCCACAGGTGCCACCCCCCCATCAGCATTTTTGATAGCATTTTGTAGCTAGTCATGGGGCTACAGGCTTTGACCCTATCTTTTGGAGGAAATAAGGACTAGATGACTGAAAGATTTAAATTCTCTCTCAACCTATACTTGGGATTTGTTATATTTCAGGGAGAAAATATCAGATACACAAAAAGACTGGAAATTCTTTGAGGTGAGTCACTAAAGTTTTGGGGCTTTTCTTTTTTTTTTTTTTGAGACAGAGTCTCATTATGTTGCTCTTGGTAGAATGCTGTAACATCACAGCTCACAGCAACTTCAAACTCTTGGACTTAAGCAATCCTCTTGCCTCAGCCTCCTGAATAGCTGGGACTACAGGTGCCCACCACAATGCCTGGCTATTTTTAGACACAGAGGTCTCGCTCTGGCTTAGGCTGGTCTCAAACCCATAAGCTCAGGCAGTCCACCTGCCTCGGCCTCCCAGGGTGCTAGGGTTACAGGTGTGAGCCTCCGTGTCTGACCTGCTTTTCTCTTTGATATGAAACATGAGCTAGGCTTGGCACCTATGGCTCAATCGGCTAAGGCGCCAGCCACGTACACCTAGGGTGGTGGGTTCGAATCCCCAGCCTGGACCCGCCAAAACAACAATGATGGCTACAACCAAAAAATGGCCAGGCGTTGTGGCGGGCGCCTATAGTCCCAGCTACTTGGGAGGCGGAGGCAGGAGACTCGCTTGAACCCAGGAGTTGGAGGTTGCTGTGAGCTGTGATGCCACGGCACTCTACCCAGGGGGACAGCTTGAGGCTCTGTCTCAAAAAAAAAAAAAAAGAAACATGAGCTATACAGTGGTTCTCAACCTGTGAGTTGTGACCCCTTTGTAACAATGAAAATGCATCCTGCATATCAGATATTTACGATTCATAACACTAGCAAAATTATAGTTATGAAGTAGCAACAAAAATAATTTTATGGTTGGGTGTCACCACAACATGAGGAACTGTATTAAAGGGTCACAGCATTAGGTGGCATTAGGAAGGTTGAGAACCAGTGATCTATAGCAATAGGCAACAGTTGTTTGTCAGGCACTTACTCTTAGTTCATATCCTTTCTGGAAAGGATATCACAAGCTATATGAGACCTTAAATTTTGGGTTTGATTTCCCTCCTGCAACGGTGAGTACATTTTTTGTACAGCTTTCAGGAATATTGAGAAATTGGGTCATCTGGGTTTGTAGCTACTTAGTGGTGTTACTTAGACAAGTGGGGTTTTTCATATCACAGCCAGGGATTGTGATTCTTCTCTCCTTTTCGTTAGTCCTTTTACACTTTCTGCGCGTATGTGGCGTGGATTGTTTTCCGACGTCAACACTTTACAGAGATTGAGGAAGAGATAGGGAGACTCTTTCGTACCAATATGTTCAACATTCCCCGAAGGAAGCGTGAAGATAAAGAATCCGGAGGGGAGAAGAAACGCATGACTTTCGTACAATTCAGGTATGACCTTTTGGCTTTCCTAAACTCAAGGACGTTTTTAGAAAACAGGATGATGTGACCTAAATTATTACCTTCCCCCCACCACACAGAAGAATGATGGCAAAACGCCCTGCAATTAAAAAAGCCATTAACATGCGATCTCCGGTCATGTCTACTCTGCTGCCGTCTCTCAGAGAAAAAGCTCAGCTTGTCTTTGAGAAAAAGTATCGTCAAGTAGGCTTCAAAATCCCAGCCCAGACAAAGGAGCACACGGAGAGTCTGGGCTCTGTGTCCATGCCAGTGTAAGTGGCCCAGGGAGAGAGACAGGAGAGCCCTGAGCAGTGGCCTCCTGGGTGGGCTGGGAAGGGGCAGGGGTGCAGGCACCAGGGCTTGGCCAGAGAGTTGAGCCGGGGCGACAGCCCCAGCTTCCTGCTCCTCTCCCTGTTTGCTTTCCAGAACACTGTGAGGTACACCCATCGAGACTAGAAAGTTACGCTAGACTCCAAATACTTCTAGGTTTTCTAGGTTTCTTCTGAGGTTTTTCTATTAGAAGAATCATCTTTGAGAAATGTGGGAAGGGCCTAGTATAAAATCTTGCTATGGACTGAGTTTTGGACCTCTATTGTAAGACCACAGTGATGGTTCATGGAAACATGGAAAGCTTTTTTAAAAGAGTGTGTGTATATGAGTCTTACTTTTAGTGTATATATGTATATACAAATATTTATATATTGAAAAAGAGATGGGGAAGAGATAGGAAGATATTTATATGTACATATTGAGATTGAGGAAGAGACAGGGAGACTATCATGTGTGTGTCCCTGTACCTCAGTCTTTGGCCTCACTGCTTCCTTCAAACCAATAATTCTTTTCACAGAGTTGGCATTTTGGGAGAGCCTCGATGTCTGTTCAACCCCCATACCCTTCTTCCACTTGAATTAGAAGAAATTGTGACTCCATCTGGGAGACATTCTTCCCTGATAGAAAGAAATAACACGAGGATTCAGAACACACTGGACTTAGTCATGAAAGCACTGTCCTGCCCAGCATGCCCTAAATAATCTGGTACATCCCATGTCTGTAACTAAGTACCTGTCTTTGAAGTAAACTACTTGGACTTAATCACTTTATATAGAACTAATAAATTGTTATTAGTACACTTTTAAAATTATTCAAATCATTTTGTTAAAAGTTCAACAATAGACTGTTAAAGAATTCCAGAAAGCTCTTGAAAAGCTCATTTTCCTATTTCTGGTAATTTTCTTTGTTATTTATTTTCTTAATGTCTTTGAGACTACTTAGGCCAGTGTTTTATCTCATAGCACACGTGAATCTATAGTTAAACTTCCATGGCCCACTTAAATTATGTTGATCCAAAAAAGTAATAACTTTTGAACTTTTGCTTTGAACTTCTTTTGAAAATAATTTAACTAATGATCTTTAAAAATTTTCCCTGGCACACCTAAGATCCTCTCATGGCATACCAGTTGAAAACCACTGACTTAGAGTAATATATAGTAGAACATTTAGCCAGGGTTCTTGTGTACTACTGAAGAAACATTCTGCTGTTAATTTCTAGTTCATTTTTGCCTTAAGAGAGAGCATATTTAGCATACGTGGAAACAAGATTTCATAATCCAAAGGGAAAATTAGACTTTTTAAATATTAAATTTCTCTCTATAGCTATTTTATTGTTGGCATTGGCATATAAATATATCTCATTCATTTAAAATCCCTTTTTATTTTGAGACAGAGTATCTCTCTGTCACCTGGGCTAGAGTGCCCTGGCCTCATCCTAGCTCACAGCAACCTCAAATTCCTGGGCTCAAGTGATCCTCCTGCCTTAGCCTCCCTAGTTGCTGGGACTGCAGGCACATGCCACCATGCCTGTCTAATTTTCTATTTTTAGTAGAGACAGGGTTTCACTTTGCTCAAACTGGTCTTGAATTCCTGAGTTCAAGTGATCCTCCTGCTTTTCCTCCCAGAGTATACTGGTATTATAGGTGAGAGCCACTGTGCCTGGCCAAAAAGCCTTTTAACATACACGTTTCATCTATTTTTTCATCTATTTTTCATTTAACTGCAAATATGTATTAAGCCCCCATTCCATCCAAAACCTTATGCTAGGTTACATAGGAAGAAAAGATCAAGACAAAGGCTATATCTTGCAGGTCTGTGGAGTAAAGAAGATAAATAAAATACATCTTCACAATAGCATATTGAATGGGTTAGAAGCCATATCTAGTGTCTTCTAGTGCCCTGAGAAGACAGAGCTGTGGGGCAGTCACTTCAGGGGCCCGGGGCAGGGGGCAGGAGCATTCTGATGTGGATGTGGCTCTGAAGGTCTTGGGTGGCTCTGAAGGGGGACTTGCAGTCAGTGGGAGAACTTGTGCAAGGGCACAAAGATGAGAAAGTGTGCCCTTGTAACTGGGAATATCAAGTGTGTGGTATATGCAACAGGGAGCCATGGAAGGAAGGGTACGCAGGAAGGGCCAGTTGAGCCCCAAATGTCCGATGGCGAGCTGGATGTTATCTGGTAGGCAGTGAGGATTAGGAATTGCAAACAAAACCAGTTTACTAGACAGAATACAGAGCTGCTGATTATAGAATATAATTTTTATTTATTTATTTATTTATTTATTTTTAATTTGGAACTAAAAAAAGGATTATGTTTATTGAGGACAAAGGGATGCAAACAATGAAAAAACAAAAGCTCATCTGGCATTTAATTAACTTTTCCTTCTCTGCCTGACACATGGGAGTTGGATTTTATTTGTATATATTCTAAGGATCCTGATCTGCTCCTGAAATCCTTATACAAGGGGAAGCTGTGGGGCAGATGTCTGAAGCAGTCCTTTGAGAGAACACTTTTCAGGGCAGAGTAATTGCTCGGTTCTGCCTACTTCTTGCCCTCCTGCTTCATGTGTGCTACAAAATAGTCGTTGCACGCGATGGTGAGGCCCGCAATTAGGGAAAAGAAGCTCTGGAAGCCACTTTGCCATCTTGGCACTTGTCCAGGTCCTTCATTATTTTGTCTAAGGCCAGAGGGTCTTTTTGATTTTCCAAAAATCCCGGGAACTTCTTCTCCATGAGCACTCTGAGGTCCTCCTTTGTTAAGTAGCCTTTATCCCCAGCAAATTTGTGAAATGTGAACATCATGGTTTCCATGGCGTGCTCCATCTGAGATGGCATTTTGGTGAGGTCTACTGAAATCTGGGCTGAGAGGCGCGGCTGATGCTAGCTGGCTGGGGCTCGGGGCCTAGAATATAATTTTTAAAGTCCTCGGCTTTGATAGAGTTTTAGTCATTTAAAACAACTGGACCAAATTTGCCTTTCTTTGGCCACAGGTTAATCTCAGACTTAAAGATCTTCCTTTTGTCATTCAGCCTTATAGAAAACACTGAATGCCTTTCCCAGCTTTCACACCCAGGGCAGAGGAATGACATTTCTGGCATGTTGGTGATGTGGGCAGTGTCTGTCAAACACACACTCTGTCTTCTTCTATCACCCTTTCTCATCCAGGGCAACTCCAGTCACAACTCCTGCTAAAACAGAAAAGGGGTTTTTTTAGAGACAAAGTCTCACTTTGTCACCTTTGGTAGAGTGCTGTGGTGTCACACCTCACAGCAACCTCCAGCTCTTGGGTTTAGGCCATTCTCTTGCCTCAGCCTCCCGAGTAGCTGGGACTACAGGCCCCCGCCACAATGCCTGGCTATTTTTTTGTTGCAGTATGGCTGGGGCTGGGTTCAAACCCGCCACCCTTGGTATAGGGGGCTGGTGCCATGCTCACCGAGCCACAGGTGCCTTCCTCTCCCAAGTATTTGATAAGTCTTTCG